AAAATGCTGTCTTTTAGATATATGCTATATCTACTTAGTACCATAATGGCATTTGTGTATACACATTTGCAAAGGCACTTACAGCTTCTAATTTTTGCAAAATGGAAATTTTGATAAAGTTGCCTGCCCAATACCATGGCCAAAAATCTTAGAAAATGAACTACTCCTGTTATATTAAAATATGAAAAATGTCAGAGTTAAGAGTACTTAGCAAAATAGCAACAAAAAAAATCGTACAATACAGATATAGCATACAGATCTTTCTGAGTGGGAAAAAGTGTATGAAACATTTAATTTTGGGGACAAAAGAAACCTAAACACTGAAAGAATGAGATCTGTCATTTTTACCTGATGTAATAACCACTTTGAAGGGAATCTATAACATTACCAGAATATTTGACCTGGAAGAGCTTCTTATTACAGATATGAGAAAAAACAAGAGCCAGAGATGGTGAGTAACCTGTATGAATTCATAAAGCAAGTAACAAGATAATACTAGCTGAAATGTAGAAACTCCTAGTAATTTAAGCCTCTTTACTTTGCTAAATAGGAACCTTTGCAGAGGGTGAGTTCACAACTGATGAGAATATTATCTATTATCAATTGGTTCCTAGAAGGGTATCCAAATTGTTGGCCTAGAAGGAAAAGGCACAGAACTTATGACCGAGTATTAATTATAATACTATTTACTGTAACACTACAATAAATTACAATAATGAGAATAGAGGCTTTCATTGAATTAAAACTTATTCAATCAACACATTCAAAATTCTTTATATTTAATTACTAGTTATTTTTAACTAATTCATATTTGTTCTTGATGGAATGCTACTGATTTGCAAATCTCAGTTGCTTATACTTGGGGGAGTAAAAAACTTATGTTAATGAGAAAAACTGTCCACATGGGAAAACTGTCATAGATATATGCATTAGTTAGATATTTTATAAATGCTACATTGAATTTTCCATTCTTAAGAGACCAATAAAAAGTGTTACATGTACTTCTTAAAATGATTATTTAAAGGAAGTCTCAGACATATCTAGTTTACAAATTACATCAATTATTTAAAATTTTTATTCCAAGTAAAAAATGTCAAATTTAACATTAAGTTTTTTCTTTTATTCCTGAAAGCAATTTTTACCTTAGTTATTTTTTATTCTTAAGAATTTTCTCCTTAGAAAACCATTCACTTGATTTTTAAAATTCAATTTCCACAAGAGCTAAAGAAGAAATAGACCAAAGATTTTACCAACCAGTTAGACTAACAGTACAGACTCGATTTCAAGATTACCTAACCAGTAAGGAATAAGCTAGAATTCAAAATCAATTTCTGAATTCAGTATAGTATGTTCCATAAGTTTTCTTCTAAACTATTTAAATTAAGTTTCTCATTTTGCAACCCAACTCAATGAATTTACACTGTGTAAAGCTCCCTTCAAAATCTTTTGTGAAAGAAATGAAATGTAAACATCTAAAAAAAGGGCTTATGAGGCAAATGGGCTCATGTTCATTCCTTTCACAGTATTTTGAGTCTGCTGAATTGTGACAATGTTTGCATCTTGCTTACTACACTGGGTTAAGTGCAGAACCTCGTAAGAATGATTAGGGCAGCCCCTGCTTTGAGAGACTTCAATTCTTTTTTCCCTCCTTATTTCCCTCCTGCTCATCTTCCTTCCTCACTTATTTCTTCCCTCTCTGCACTTTACTAAGTCCTTATTATATGAAGACATTGCCTTACAAATAATGACAGAGACTATCTTTGGAGGTCAAAATGTTGCTCTAATTTAACAAGCTAAGACAAATGCACAAATAACTAATCTGAGGCGAAACATGATAAACTTCATAAAAGACATAAAAAATGTTATGAAGATTTATGGAAGGAATACATATACAGTGATACATCTTAAATGTATTTTGAAGTTCAAAAGGCTACTAAATATTCTCTATGAACAGTTTTCACATCTGCATGAAAAAGTCTTCACAGTACTCGGAGGTATAAAAAAGACCCACAGCTTTCCTTATTTAAAGTTGACACAGTGTTTACCATGGAAAAGTCTCAGGAAACTGGTTTTCACACATCTCCAGTTTCTTCCATTCCAAATAAATTAAATAAAAAAGGGAAAATATCACAACTTTTAATGGAAAATTTTTTCTGGCATATGGCTATTTATTGTGAACACAAAGGCATTGGTGTTCAATTTGGAAAACAATTTTAAGGATGCACCTGTGAATCTAAACAGTCTAAAAATGAAAAGAATCTCTTATAAGCAATGTTAAATCCTTTCAAAAGCTGCCTAAAACAAACGGACTCTAAATGAACTGGCAGAAGAAGAATGCTAGTAGCAGTGCTTTTAATATTAATTAAACTTAATTTCAATTT